AAGTCTTATTTAAAGCACACACACACTTTTTCAACACTGAGTCCTTACCCTGCGTTTAACTCCCTTCCTAACACACAAATGAAGTTATTTTGGACTAACTTAATTTTTTGAAAGGGTGGAAAAGTTCTATATTTGCATCCTAACACTCCATGAAAACAATGCTAAATGGAGGCTGGGGGCAATGTGAAAAGTGAATTTTTAGGCTTCAGAATGGTATGTAATAAGCTCCAGCTAGTCTTAACTAAGAACTTTAACTTTTGTTTATTGTTTTGTTTTTCCAGTCCCTACCTCTTTTAAATTATGTGTGACTCAAAAGACCACTCAGGTAAAAGCCAGTAATGATTTCTGGAGTTTCAATTATGTGAAATAAATTCCTGTTCTTAAAAGTAAGTGTCTGTGTGTTTCGGGGTAGCATAAGAATCCTTCACATGGCTCTTGATTATAAAAGCTGGGCAGGCTCTTTAAAATTTCATTGGAAGTTGATAAAAGAATGAGCAAAAGCAGTGCCCACCTACATACATTGAGTCCCAGGACCACAAAACATCAAGGTGGGTCACTTCCTGGGGAGAGCATCTGGAACAGAAATGCTTCCATTGGAAACAGCAGGACTGCATCACTTACAATTTCCCCCCATTATCCAAAAGGAGCGAGTTCTGATGAAATGCTATTGTGTGTGTGGGTTTTTTTTATTGAAATATCGTTGATATACAATCTTATATTGGTTTCAAATATACAAAACAGTAGTTCAGTGGTTACCCATATTATTAAATCCTCACCCCATGGTAACCACCAGTCACTTCTGAGTGTCTGTGATTCTACTGATGTTTTGTTCATTCTGGTTTGCTTTGTTTTTATATTCCACAAATAAGTGAAATCATATGGTATTGTTGCAGATGGCAGGATTTCCTTTTTTTAATGGCTGAATAATATTCCATCATGTATATGAACCACATCTGCTTTGTCCATTCATCTCATGATGGACACTTAGGTAGCTTCCATATCTTGGTAAATCAGGGATTTTATTTTCTTTGGGTAAATTCCTAGAAGTAGAATGACTGGGTCAACTGGTATTTCTATTTTTACTTATTTGAGGAACCTCCATACTGCTTCCCACAGCAGTTGTACCAATTTATATTTCCACTAACAGTGTAGGATGCTTCCCTTTTCTCCACACCCTCACCAACCCTTGTTATTTCTTGTATTTCGGATAATGGACATTCTAACTGGTGTGAGGTGATCTCTCTTTTTGGTTTTGATTTGCATTTCCCTGATGACTAGTGATGTGGAGCATCTTTTCATGTGCCTGTTGGCCATCTGTATTTCTTCTTTGGAGAAATATCTGTTCACATCCTCCACCCATTTTTAACCAGGTTGTTTAGGGTATTTTTTGGTGTTGAGGCATGTGAGTTCTTTATATGTTTTGGATGTTAACCCATTATCACATTAATCATTCATGAATATATTTTCCCATGCTGTATGTTGCCTTTTTCTTCTGCTGATGGTGTCCTTTGCTGTATGGAAGATTTTTAGTTTGATGCAGTCACACTTGTTCATTTCTTATTTTGTTTCCCTTGGCCGAGGAGTTGTGTCCAAGAAAAAAATTGCTCATACTTAGGTTCAAGAGATTTTTGCCTAAGTTTTCTTCTTAGAGTTTTACTGTTCCATGTCTTACATTCAGGTCTTTGTTTCCATTTCAAGCTTAGTTTCATGTATGGAGTTACACAGTAATCTTGTTTCATTATCTTACATGTAGCTGTCCAGTTTTTCCAACACCACTCATTGAAGAGGCTTTCTTTTCCCCATTGTATATTCATAGGTTTTTTTAATCATATATTAATTGACCATATATTTATGGGTTTATTTCTGGGCTCTCTATTCTATTCCATTGATCTATGGGTCTGTTCTTGTGCAAGTACAATACTGTTTTGGTTATTGTGGCTTTGTAGTATAGCTTAAAGTCATGCAGCACAATCCTCCCAGCTTTGCTCTTTTTTCTCAGAATGGCTTTGGCTCTTCAGGGTCTTTTGTGGTTCCATATGAATTTTGGAAGTATTTGCTCTAGTTTGTTGAAGAATGCTGTCAGTATTTAAATAGGGATTGCATTGAATCTGTAGATTGCTTTAGGCAGGATGGCCATTTTGACAATATTAATTCTTCTTATCCATGAGCACAGGATGTATTTCCATTTATTGGTGTCTTCTTTAATTTCTCTCATGAGTACCATAGGTTTCAGAGTACAAGTCTTTCACCTCCTTGGTTAGGTTTATTCCTAGGTATTTTATTCTTTTTGATGCAATTGTAAATGATATTATTTTCCTGATTTCTCTTTCTGCTAGTTCATTGTTAGTATATAAGAATGCAACAAATTTCTGTGTATTAATTTTGTATCCTTCAACAAAGGATATTGTTGAATCCGGTTATTAGTTCTAATAGTTTTTTGGTGGACTCTTTAGGGTTTTCTTTTTTTTTAATTGAAGTATCGTTAATATAGAATCTTACATTGGTTTCAGATGTACATCACAATAGTTCAGCAGTCCTCTTGATCAACTTATATTGTGACTGCAAACTATTGTGCCCTTTTGTCACCCTCCCCCCACCACCCACACCAGCCCCTTCCTCTTGGTAACCACTAGTCACTTCTAGTGTCCAGGAGTCTAATGCTGTTTTGTTCCTTCTGTTTTGCTTTGTTTTTATATTCCACAATTAAGTAAAATCATATGGTATTTGTTTTTCTTCACCTGGCTTATTTCATTTAGCATAATACCTTCTGGATCCATCCATGTTGTTGCAAATGGCAGGATTTCTTTTATTTTTATGGCCAAATAATATTCTATCATGTATATGTACCACATCTTATTTATTCATTCATCTATTGATGGACACTTAGGTTGCTTCCATGTCTTGGCTATTGCAAGTAGTGTGGTGATAAACATAGGGGTATATCTATTCAAATTAGGGATTTTGTTTTCTTCAGGTAAATTCCTAGGGGTGGAATTACTGGGTCAAATGGTATTTCTATTTTTAGTTTTTGAGGCAACTCCACAGTGCTTTTCACAGCAGTTGTACCATTTTGCATTCCTACCAACAGTGTAGGAGGGTTCCTATTTCTCTGCATCCTTGCCACCATTTGTTGTTTATTATCTTTTGGATAGTGGCCATTCTAGCTGGTGTGAGGTGATATCTCATTGTGTTTTTAATTTGTATTTCCCTGATGATGAGTGATGTGAAGCATCTTTTCATGTGCCTGTAGGCCAATTGTATTTCTCCTTTGGAGAAGTGTCTGTTCAGGTTCTCCACCCATTTTTTAATCAGGTTATTTTTTTTGGGGGTGTGGAAGCATATGAGTTCTTTATATATTTTGGTTGTTAACCCCTTATCAGATGAGTCATTTAGAAATATATTTTCCCATACTGTAGGATGCCTTTCTGTTCTAATGATGGTGTCCTTTGCT